CTCGCGGGCAGACGTGGGTGGACCCGGCCGGGGCAGCCGGGCCTCGCGTCCACGGCCGGGCGCGCACACGGGGCCTGCGCGGGTCCGCGGACCGCGCGTGCACGTGAGCCCCGCCTTGCCTTGCGCTGGCGCGCCGCGCACCCAGGGCTCAGCTAGCGGCGGGTCCCCTGCGTCCCCACAGCCTGCTCTGTTCCTCCTGTGCACCCTAGGACCCGAGCCACCCCAAACCCAAACGGGCAGGGGCTGGGCCGGGTGGTAGTGTAGACCTGGGGTTGTGGGAGTCACCGATTATACACCTCATCCTGTCCTGGTCTCCGTATGCCACCTGCTGGAGACAGCTCAGTGCGTGGCTGGGACAAGTAGTCCTCCAGGCAGCAGTGGGCACGGAGTACAGGCAGGGAAAAAGTCAAGCCGCACCTACCCCCTCCTCCTCATCCCCTCTCCTCCTCTTCCCGGCAGGACCTCTGGACACAAGGTCCAGCCTGCCCCCCGCTGCAGCCCTGGCTGGTGAAAGGGGGTTGGAGGGAGCCCAGGGAGGAGGGGCCCCACTACCGGGATGAGCGAGTGCTGGGAGTAGTTAGTGATGGTAAGGACACCTCCTGGGCGCTCCGGGGTTTTGCCCCTTTTTATGCATGAACAGTGCATGTATAAAAGGTCTCAAGGTCACTCAGCTCTGAGTGACCAAGTCCAGCTGTGAATGCGGGGCTCACAATCATTGCTCTTTTCCATCACTGAACCCTGTGCTGACCGTCAGAGGCCTCCTCCTGTGCTGGGCTCCCCCTGCCAGGCAACATCCTGAGTCCAAGCACTTAGGGCACCTTCATCTCCCTGCTTTAATCCCCATCACTCCCTCCCAAGGTCAGAGTCACTGACCCCCTTTTCAATGGAGGAAACTGAGGCTCTGAGAGTCTCAGGAGCTTGCCTGTCACAGGGCTGTGAGGTCACAGGGCTGTGGGTTTGAGCTCAGGTCAATCTGACCCCAAAGGCTGTGCTTACTCAGGAGCCCGAGGAGGTGGCCTTTGGGCCCAGCCTTGGAGGTGAGTTCATCATGGATGGGGGGCTGTGGGGAGGGGCACTGCAGGCAGGGGGCCCTGAGCAGGGCAAGGGCTTGGAAGGGTCAGTGCAGGGAGGAAGGCTGTGGGGAGGTGGAGTGGGGGTGAGGGGTGCACACTGGGAGGACATCCAGACCACACAGGACTTTGAATGTTGGGCAAGGAGTACGGGGTCACTGCAGGTTGGGGGCAGCAGAGGACATGATCCAGGTGGTTTAATCAGAGCCACAGCATCTCAGTTGGAAGGAGCGTAGTGCGTGCATTATTCACGCCACTCAAGCGTGCATCCCTGAGATGCAGCCAGCGATGCAGTCTGCCTGTTTCCTCCTGTGTACAGTGTGGGCTCTGGTGGTCACCTCCCCCTCTCAGGGTTGGGCATGTTGCCTGGCAGGCCCAGATCTAGCTATTTCTCCAAGTACCTGCCTGGAAGTCAGTGCCCACAGGTGTCCCCACCATAATCCCATTTCATCCTCACCTCAGGGCTTCAGGGAGGTGACCTGCCCAACATCCCACAGGTGCTAGGACATGCTCAAACCTGTGTTCTCAGCTGCCTCACATTCACACAGTCATTCAACAAACACTCATGGAATCCCTCTGGGGTTTCAGGGACTGGGCTAAACCTGGCAGGCCACCATCTGTGCCCTCTTGGGGTTTACCAGCCGGGGGAAGGGGTGGAGATGACTAGAACATTGTAA